CTTGTTTCTAATAGCTTCTTGTTACTAGTAAGAATGCTCCTAGTAGCGATGCCCTTTGCTCCTAGTAGCGATGCCAGGAGCCCCGTTCGTAGCGTCCGAACGCTCCTAGTAGTGTGGCCATGAGCCCCTAGTGAAAAAAGGACATGAAAAGAAGTAAACACATATGTAATTCTTTTCCAAAAGGGGATAAAAACAAGACACCAAACACCAAGCCTGAAGTCTTTCTGTGCTTCCTTTCCCGATCTACTTAGCTAGTCTGCTGATGAATTCATGAATTCTGTCAGCGGTTTCCAAGTGCCTGCCTCTTCATTCCAAGATTGTTCCGAAGAAACATGAATAACACATGTCAAAAAAGAAGGTGTATGGACAAGTTCAATAGGGGGCTCCTATTCGAAGATCCTCTGACTAAAGAGGGTCACACACCTTTTCTCAAAACACTCTTCCGAATGCGGTGATCGAATCCTGATGGAATGAATGTAACATGGGTAAACTCATTGCCTAGCGACAAAGCTTCCTCCCCCTGGTCGAACGATCAAATTTTTAAGGAGTGACGTGAAACCACATGATGTGAATATGGGATCTTGTCATCTCCCTGGCTCCTCTCTGCAGCATAAGGATTACAAGGCATGGCTTTGGTCCACGTGAGATCGCCTGTTAGCTGATGTGAAGACTCTGAGCATCTTTGGTGATGCTAGGAGAAACCGTGTTCCATCCTGTTCTTAAGTCCTTGTGGATCGCCCAAACACAAATGTCAAACCAAAGTGAGAATTCTTTCTTCTTCCTTTTTTGGAGGCCATCACTAGTAGGTCGGAGGCCATTTCTATTAGGTTCCTTATGCTATTAGGAGCAAAGGGCATCGCTACTAGGAGCAAGGACGCTACTAGGGGCTCCTGGCCTTGCTACTAGGAGCAAGAAGCTAGTAGTAACAAGGCCATTGCTATTAGGTTCCTTATGCTAAAACGGTTTATTTTTTTCACCAAAATGGCATCGGCTCAGTGCTGGGCACCGTGCCGCACCAGCTCAGTGCTGGCAGCCTCCCTCGCTTCCTGAGCCACTTACTTTTGTCGGCTCCTTTTTGAAGGCCGCTCTGCCCTCAAACCTACTAGCGATAGCCTCCAATCTAATAGCTTCTTGTTCCCAGTAGTAAGGGCAGGAGCCCCTAGTAGCGTCCTTGCTCCTAGTAGCGATGCCAGGAGCCCCTAGTAGCTTCTTGTTACTACTAGTGATGGCCTCCAATCTAATAGCGAATCATGAGTGTGGCGGCCACGTGTTCTCAGTGGCGGCATCGCGCCTGAAAGCGGCCACTTCTCGAAGTGCCTACGCCGACGCGAAGCAGAAACAGTTCTATAGTTAAGTTTCCCTAAAAAGTCGAGCGGAACCAAATGAATAGTGCGAGCGCTTCTTCAAGGAAGCTTCCCCCGCCTTGAGGGTGGCGGGGGGAGCTTCCTTGAAGAAGCGTGAGTTATCCTGCGTCCTCTCAGTTGTAGCTACTAGCGACCTCTCCCTACTAGCTACCTACCTCTAGCGGCCTGATCTGGCATGCGTCGTGGCATCACCACCACAGATGGATAGGATCCACAGAGGCGATACTGCCGATTCAGCTCGCTCACCTGGGTGGCCCATTGGCAACGAACGGTTTAAATGAAAAGAACCGGACATATTTGTAGAACAAGAGCTGTTGCCTTTCTTTTACAAGTTCTACAAGAACCTGAAACTCAGGTGGCCTTGCTTCAGTCGGACAACACCCGGTCGAACACTGGGAGCCGGTTTCAGCTTCTGGGTCCCCGACACGCCACGGACACTGTGGACTTGGGATGAGTGGTGTGTCCACGCCCATCCGAGCATAGTCCTGTCAAGCCCAACTTCTGCCACAAAGATGTCTGCAGTAAGCTACGAACGTAACAAGGGCATCGTTACGAACCGAGCAAGGATGCTACTAGTAGCTCCTGGCCATACTAGTAACAAGAAGCTACTGTTACTAGGTTGGAGGCCGTCATTCTTAGGTTGGAGGCCATGGCTATTAGGTCCCACAAGGTCAACCTCTGAGGTCGCACCAAGCCGCTCTCTTTTCAACCGCGTCTTCCAAGAGGTCCCAAGCTGTGACTTTACACAGGGTCTTTTCCTGGTCGAAGTGACCACGATATTTCACCGGCGAACCAACAGTCCAATCTGAAATGGCTGCGGCAGAACCACATGCAGCATGCTGTCGGGACGGTGAAGCGCCCCTGCGCCATGCTACTCGCGAACACGCAAAGCATGCTGCCACGACCATGAACCGCCATGCGCCATGAACAAACGCCATGCTACTCGCCATGCAAAAACGCCATGAGTTTCCATTGCATAGAGCGCGGCCCAAGTTATGTGTCACCAGGAACTTCTCTGCTGCGCCCTAGCGTAACATTCACGGCTTACCGGGGGCTTGGTAGAAACTCGGCCCTTCTCCGGGTTCAAAAAGGCTACAAGGACCCCATTTTGGCCAACCGAAGGTACAAAACATTGTCCCTTTCTTGTGTCTCCGACCTTACAGAACAACATGGAAATCCTCTGTCCAGAAAAAGAAGCATGTAACGAGATATCCATCGTCTTCACTGTGCAAAACTGCAGGGCACACTGTTTTCACGGCCCTTGTTTCCGCGTGCTTCGCCTTCTATGTCCATTCTGAGCCTTGGGTTCTCTTTCCGGGCGGCGAAGAATGCTCCGTTCCTTCGGTGGAGCAGTCGACCTTGCCTCAAAGCATCGGAGTCTGTATCAACGAAGTCTGTATCAAAAAATGCCAAAAAAACACACATCGACATGTTAAACATCACCAGATGTGGGCGGAAGCAGTGAGTAGAACAGGTCAGAAGCCATCGGGTGACTTGAGCCAAAGATGCACCTTCCCCCAGTAGAAATCTATTCCATCATCACACATGTGAATGTGCTCAGGTTTTGGGAATTTCCGATCCGGATTCTGCAATTTGTTGTTCAACAAGGGTTGAACTAGGCTGTGGAGTATCTCCTCTTCAGAACCAAGTCCTGCGATTTCGGCACCGAACACCCAGATCCGCCGTCGGAGCGACCCCTATCTGCGGTCCGCGAGCCCCGAGCATTGCTTCGGGCGAGGACAGGATGGCCTTCTGTGATCTGCTGCAACAATTGGTAGAAACAAGGTTCGCTACTAGGAACAAGTGCATCGCTTCTAGTAACAAGTGCCTTACTGGTAGTAGCAAAGGACGCTACGAACGTAGCTCCTGGCCTTACTACTAGGAGCGTTCGGACGCTACATGTGCAACAAACCGTGAGTATTGGGCTCTTGCGATCGCAGCAGGACATCCACGCATGGAATTCGATTCCACATCTCGGACAGATCTGATGCCGTCAACATCACAAATCGAATTAACCTGGGGAGTATAGCACGAGTTAAAAAGGTGAACTTTCTGTGGTTCTCATTGATGTGAAGTGCTGCAGGTCTATGTTGGAGAAATCTTTGAACCATCATCGTAATATGAACGTTCAGGGGTCCCTTGCATTCAGATGTCGTCCGCATTGATTGCACCGATGTCCTCATCCTTGGTGAGAAAAGAACTTTTGGCAAGAATCAAAGGTAAGGCCAGGAGCCCCTAGTAGCTTCTTGCTCCTAGTAGCATGTCTCCGAAGGCTCTTCCGGTTGAATCAGACCCAACCATCCCCATCGGGTCTCTGGCCTCAGACTCCTCCGATGAGTCCTCAGACCTGGAGACATCGTTCTTCGTTCGTCTTTTCGGAAGGACGCCGCTGGACCCACTTCGGCATCTTTGGACGCCATTGCTTCTAGGTTGGAGGCCATCGCTATTAGGTTGGAGGCCATTGCTATTGGGTTGGAGGGCATCGCCATTGCTATTGCTTTGTTTACATTTCTTCATTCTTTCTCCTTGTTCCCATTGCTGCTAGGTTCACTTGGCTCCAATGGACGGCCTCTGAGCCTCGGGCGGCGCTGGCGCCGAGGCCTTTGCGAGTGTCTTGGCTCCAATCGCGGGGCCTGAGTTCAAAGGCAAAGACCGAAAGTGGGTACAAGGCGTCTGACAGCTTGGCCAATGGGTCTGAGCTTCCTGCCATCCGCCCGCCGTGGACCTAAGGAGACGAGGCAGGGGTCTTCAATGACTCAGGACAACTGTCCAAAGGTTCCATTCTGTTTGGGGGTGGTCAACCCCCGCATCGCAGCGCATCTCAGCAGCTCTCCCTCCGTTTTCGGCCGTTTTCTCTGAGTGCTACGACGTCCACCACCTCCATCCCCTGCAGGGATCTCATTGCCTTGGCTTCAACATGACTTCACAAATAACAAAAAGGTATTCATTTGAGTTGCTAATAGGAATGGTCTCCAACCTAGTAGCAATGGCTTCAAGATGTCCTGCAACATGGTAAACCCCACGAGGGCACCCAGAGATGCGAGACTGCCATCCAACCTCCGGCCAGCTGACTCGGCCGCTGACTCAAGGGCGGTGGAACCATGTGCGGCGGCCCCATCGGTGGGAAGGGCATCCTGAAGCGGTGGCGGCACCCGGTGTCGTGCAAACACCGAACGGATGGTGTTCTCCTCAGCTGAGACCGTTTCTTCTCAAAGCTGAAGTCGACAGAATCGGTTTGCTAAACGGGTTTGACCCTGAACGACCCTGAACTCCTTTTCACCAGTTCAATCTGCCCTCTAGATTCTCAAGCCCAGCTGGAAAGACTTCTTGAGAACATGGGCAAACCCAAACCAAGCCGAAGGAGGAGGCCATCTGACTTAGGTTGGAGGCCATCGCTACTAGTAACAAGAAGCTACTAGGAGCAAAGGGCATCGCTACTAGGAGCAAGGACGCTACTAGTAGCTCCTGGCCATACTACTATAGTAACAAGAAGCTACGGTTGGAGGCCATCGCTCTTAGGTTGGAGGCCATTGCCGCTTCTTGACTCCAATCCCTGCCGTACCCTGCGCACCCAGGAGGCATTGGCGGCATGCCCGGGCCCATGAAGGGCGGCATGCCAGGCCTTAGCTGCAGCCACAATGGGGCCATCGGGAGCTCGGATAGTCCATTCTATATCATTCACCATATCATTCACCTCGTATCCTCTTCTCTCTCCGGGACTCGGGCGGAGGGGGCATCGGTGGCACCCCAGGAGGCATGCCCGGCGGCAGACCGCCCGGTGGCCCCGGAGGCGGCGGAAGCACGCCCGGGGGCAGACCCGGCGGGATGCCCGGCGGGACGCCCGGAGGCATCATGGGCGGTGGAACGCCTGGTGGCACGCCAGGGGGAGCACCTGCAGGCCGTGGTTGGGTTGCACCGTGGGAGTCAACGGCGCAACCGGTGAAATGCAGGACATGTGGAAATGGTCTAAGCCGCTTTGTGATGAATTTTTGCGTATGTTACTTGGTCTAAGTGCGATGGGTGAGGTGAAGTCAATGCCTCTCACACACGTCTGGGCCGGTCTGTGGCAAGGTTCATGGCCTAGTAATCCAGTGATAGCGTATGGCCAAACAGAAGTGCACAGAACTCTGGCAAAGGGTCGCTAGTAGGTTGGAGGCTGGGTGGGCATCGCACAATTAGGTTGGAGGCCATAGCTATTAGGTTGAATCGGAGAAATCGTCCGTGCGGTGCGGACGGCTAAGCATGTTCGATGGTCTGGTGCCGTCCCTTCGCGTGACTGCGTCCCCACTCGTCGCTGATCAGCTCTTCGGCACTGACAGCGACGCATGGCACTGTGTTTTGCGCCTGTCCAGACCTGCTACCCTTCACCATCGGTGTTTTTTTTTGACCATGGGCTCCTGGCATGGGCTACTTGGAGCGATCGGACGCTACGTTCGGGGCAGAGTAAATGAGGCGAAACCCACCGGCGACCCTTTCACCAGCATCGAAGAGCAGCATGCCACCCTGCGGTTGGAACAGGTTGACGTGACCTCTTGATCATCCTCCGCGACGCTCGCTTCATTTTAAAACGAAGGGATGGCGTTGCCACTGAGCCCAAGCCGAGAAAGAGCTGAAGACCTCCATTTCTTTGTGAAAACACTCTTCACATCTCACCTTCACCTTCCGCACCGACGAAGAGACAGTGTCTTGGGTGGCTTCCTGCGCCCATCATGCCAGCGGGCGGAGAAGTCATCAGCGTCGAGGGGACGGAAGTGCATGTGGCCTACTTTTGGTCTTTCTGTTTTCAAAAAAAGGGGAAAGCATGGTTTTCCAATTCCCCAAAAACACCTTCCTCTCATAATGAGTTCATCTGTCTCGATGTGGTTATATGGGTCTTTGGGCTGTTCTCCGCTACTCCCACCTGGCCCTGGTGGCATTGCAGGTGGACCTCCGGGCCTCAGACCATTCGCCCAGCTCGCCGTTACCACGCGGAGTGTCCGCTCGGATGGAGGTTCGATGGCGATGAGTGAGAGAAAAGCAGTCTTGGACTAGGATGGAATAGGTGCTGACTACTAGCGTCCTTGTTGCTACTAGTAAGGCACTTGTTACTAGAAGCGATGCACTTGTTACTAGTAGCTGACTGCATGGGCAGGGGAGATATAGGGTCTCAAATTTCTACACGTTTTTGGAGTGGCAACAGAACGATCCCACGGGCTTGGAGCTCCTGACGGTGGCAACATGGCAGGAGCTCCTGTTCAAGACTTTGACTTTAGCAAAGACTTTCAACTGCTTCTGACTAACCTGGCGCGTGCTTGGCACAAAGCTCATCGCGACTAGAGCCAGCTTTGACTTTGAAACATCAAGTACTGCTGCCACCACTTTGTGAACACTATCTCAACCGTGCCCGATTCTCAGTCAAAGTGCGCTGCTTGGATCAAACTAATGTTCTTCCTTCTCTCCCTTCATCTCTCCTGGCTCTGGCATGCCCTTGGGCTTCTCGGGCAGC